TCATAATAGCTGGACTTCCCACCTCTACCTCACAGAGCTCTCTAAACCTTGCTGTGTGCTTTACAGGCTGTGACCTCACAGCTCTACGAGGCAGACACTATTCATAGTGTCCCCCCAAATTCATGTCCACCTGGAACCTCACGATGTGACCTTATTTGGAAATAGGGTCTATGCAGATATAATTAAAGTAAGGATCAAGATGAGATCATACTGAATTAGGGTGGGCCCTAACAATGACAAGTGTCCTTATAAGAGACAGGAAAGGACACACAGACACATAGGAAAGCCCTAAGAAGACCAGGCACAGACTGGAGTGAGAGAGCTACAAGCCAAAGAATGCTAGGAGCTACCTGAAACTAGAAAAGGTGAGGAAAGACCCTCCCTAGGGCCTCTGAGGGCAGTGTGGCCCTGCTGATTTTGGACTTCAGGCCTCTTAAGCTGTGAGAGAAGATTTCTACTGTGTTAAGGCCCCTGGTTTGTGGTCATTTGTAATAGAGGCACTAGAAAACAAAACAGGTGTTTAGTGCCTGCACATTATAGATGAGAAACCGGGCTTAGGCAATGAAGTCACCTCCCGGGGCTCACACGGTCCCTGCACTACAGAGGCAGGATCTGAACCTTATATGCCAGGCTCCCGTCTACATCCTGGCCTGCTGTTGCCCACACACCAGCCCACTGTCCAGCCTCCACTTGGAAGACGCAGGAATTTACCCCATGGTACGGCTGCTTCTGAAACTGCCACCCCTCACTTCACTGAGGGAAATGGGAGGCAGCCTAAAAAGCTTCATCTCTACCCCTCCTCTGGCCCCCAAACTATTGCCTGAGCAACTGATTTTTCCTTCTTTCCCCTACTGTCCCTGTCTCCCTTCCTTCCCTGCTTGATTCTTGACTATGTAGACCCCTCAGTCTCATGCTCGAGATCCCAGTCTAGCCTCAACCTACCTTTCCAGTTCTACCTCAATCTCTTCGCAAGCAAGCCCGTCCCCCAGTCAAATCCTCCTGAGGCAGCCCTCACCTCCCTGCCTTCTTGTCTCCTCTCCCAAGCTTCCCTTGGTCTAGAATCTCCCACTCATCGCAGGCACACATCAAAAATCCACTCCTTCAAGCCCAGGCTCAAATTCCACCTCCCCCTGGCACACCGAATCAACAGCACGCTCCCCTCTGACCATGTACATGCTTTCACACAAACATCGTTGAGTACCTGATCTGTGCCGGGCAGATCTAGGGGGTGAGGAAATGCAGTGATCTCACTGTCTGGGAAGAAGGTAAGGAATCCTAACAAGAGTGTGCGAAATGGGAAGTAGAGAAGGAAGCAGCAAATCCCTGCAGGAATGAGGCGGGTTGTGCTCAGGAGAGGAAGGCTAGGGAACTGGAGCCCACATAACGGCTGGGAGGCAGAGAACACATGTTCTCTGGAGACAGGAGATTCTGCATAACAGTATGGGGGAGACATGGGGAGAGGTTCCAGCTTATGGAGGATTCATGTAAACATTCTGAGGTCTTGATCCTGTCCACCTTAGTGTTCCAAAGTGTAGCCCCAGTACCACTACATCAGAATCATCCAAGGAGTTTGTTAAAATGCAAATTCTTGGATCCCCACCCAGCTCAGGGGATGGGGCCCAGGACACCGAACTTTTAACAAGCTCCCTGGGTAAGTCCAACGCACCTTAGTTTTCCAACCACAGAAGGGGAAAGGGTGGAGGCACATTGAAGGATTTGAGAGGAATACATCATGGGTTGATCCGCTTTTTGGAATAAACGGATAGAGCTGATCTCGTATCTGTCTGTTTCATTGTCTGCCTCTGTGGTAGAAACTTGGTGCCACCTAACTCAGCAACCATCCCCTCTTCTTCCTTTTTTTTTTTTAAACATTTTTTTTGCTTTTTTTTTTTTTTTAAGATTTTATTTGAGAGAGAGAGAGAATGAGAGATAGAAAGCACGAGAGGGAAGAGGGTCAGAGGGAGGAGCAGACTCCCCGCTGAGCAGGGAGCCCGATGCAGGACTCGATCCCGGGACTCCAGGATCATGACCTGAGCCGAAGGCAGTCGCTTAACCAACTGAGCCACCCAGGCGCCCCCCTCTTCTTCCTTCTTAAAAATAGTAATGGGCTCAGAGAAGGGAGGTCCATCCCAGCCCAAGGGGAGAATCCTGATTGGACCCTTTTGTACAGTCCCCACTTTCCCAGACTCCTTCACAGCAAGAAATGACCATGCAACAGTTGTGGTCCATGAGATATAGGGATAGTTTGTGTGGAGCCTCCTGGGAAAGGTTTGCCTCCTGTTAACATGGGCAGAGGTGAAAGAAACTCTGGCTATGCTGCTCCTTCTGCTTCTAGATCCTGGGTGTGTGATGAAAGGCAATCTAGTGACCAAGAGGGACCAAGCCCAATAAGGAAAAGCTAATGTATGGAGAGTGGCAGAGCAGAAGGATGCAAAGATCCTAGTTCTTGAGGACATGGTTGAGCCACTGCCTCAAACCCAGACTCCCCCCATGCCCTCACCACTCCCATTCAACCCTCTACCAAACCAAGATTTCTACTCCTGAGACTTATTAGAATGTAAACACCTCGAGGGCAGGGACTTTGTTGCATGCACTCACAGTGCCTTGAACAATGCCTGGCACACAGTAGGTGCTCAGTAAATGTTTGTTGAGTAAGCTTTGAATGGATAAGTAGATGACTTTACTGTTTATACTAGTCAACTGAGTCATCTGTAGCTTGTAGCCAAGGAATCCTAACATAGTAACTTTTCTCTCCAGCCTGAGAACCTCCTAAGAGCAGGAAAGAGACTGAGCATTATTGAACATGGCAACCCACAGCCTGGCACAGGGCCCACATTTAAGAGGAATAAGCAGCTATTTCTCAGAGGAGCCCCAGACACTGCCCTGAACCTGGTTTCAGGCCTGCCAGAGAGCTGGATGGTTGGACCTGTGAGTTACCCTCATTCAGACATTGGGTGAGAAGCCCCTGAGGCAACTGATGAGAAGAGCTTAGGAATGTTCACTCTGGATCCCCCACACCAAATGATGCCCAGGGGCTACACAAACTGCTCCAAGAGGGTGGGAAGCTGGCAGCAAGTGTTGCCACTAGATTCTTCTTGAGGTGGAAAGAAAAGAACTTCTGAGAATAGCCAGACCCAACCTCCACGCAAGTCATGAATTTCCAAGCCATGGTGGTCAAGTCTAATCCTAAGTGTGGCAGCCAGGGAAGATGAGAAACGAGGAGTGAGGCACAGGGCATCAGCAACTTCACAGACAGGACCTCGATGATCTGGTCCCACCCCCTTATTTCACAGATGGGAAAATGAGATCGGGGAAAGTGGGCAACTAGCCCCACGGTACCCAGTGAGCGATGGCAGTGTTTTAATTGTGAACTCAGGGTCACTGTAATCTTTTTTGGGGGGGGGCAAAGGGAGAAGGAGAGAGAGAATCCCAAGCAGGCTCCACACCCAGTGCGGAGCTGGACATGGGGCTCAATCTCACAACCCTGAGATCATGACCGGAGCCAAAATCCAGAGTCAGAAGCTTAATTGACAGAGCCACCCAGGAGCCCCAAGGTGATTTTAATCTTAAGAGGTTTAGGGATAGGCATTAGAGAAGGGATCCTCTCAAATTCTCCCAATTGGCATGCAGAATTAAGAATACATGTTCATAGATCCACTTTTCTAAAGAAGGTCCATAGTGGTCATCAGATTCTCCAGGGGGGATAGGACTAAAGAAAAGTAGAGGGAGTGGAAGAGGCTGGGCCAAGGTCACGTGGTGAGTCACAGCAGACCTGAGACTACCACATGTGTCCTAGATTCTTAGTCACTGCCCTACACTTTCTCTCCACGGGAAAGGCCATTTTCTTCAGTGCACCAACGTACCAGATTGGTTCACTAAACCAATGCACCAGATGGGCCTAGTCAGTAGGAATACCATGGTTTCCAACAGGGGGAGGCTCTGCCATCCCGTGGGCACTGCCCATGGACACTGACAGAGAAAAACAAGGGAAGACCACGGAACTGCGCAAGAACCCCTCACTCCTGAACTGTACCCAAGGGTCCCCAGGTAAGATGAAGGCCACAGATCCACGATCTCCAGAACTTAGAAACATTTCTAGTAAGATGCACTCTGTTCCTTGGTACAGATTGTTGATGCAGGTCATGCTCAACTCTTGTGTAGGTTTCCACAGACTCCACTGGACACCACGCTAGCCTCAGAAGAGTCAGCTCCCGAAGCAAATGACAGATTGAACACAACAGCAAAGTATGAAAATTAATTGAGATATTTAATAGACAGTGCAAACCATAATTTCATCTGAATATAAATGTATGCACATGTTTCCAATGAGTTATCTATCGGTTATCACAAACAGCAACAAGGACCTTAGAGCTATGTTAGAAAAATGTATAGCTGGGGTTTAACTCTACAGTCTCACTTGCTCTCAAGAGAACACCATCCATTTCAAATCAGTGTCACAAACTCCAAAAGACCAGGGGAATAGGAGTGAGGGGTAGGCAGATTGGTAAACACAGGGGCCAGTACACAGGAAATGGACAGAAATACAGTTCTCAAGGAAACCAAAGTCAGATGCATTATTACAGCTAAGGACAAGGAAAAGCCTATGGCTTTTAAAAAACTTTTCTGCCAGTACCATACAAGTCTTACAAAGAAATGTGCGACAAGTCAACTGACTTAAAAGGACAGAGGCTACATTTTCAGATCATTTCAACTGCAAACGGTCGACCCTTTCCACTGAGCTTCAGCAGTGGAGTTAGCATAGTCCAGAAGCTCAATGTTGGATTTGCAAATACAGTTTATTTTACAGAAATTCAACATTATAAACAGCAGGCACCTCCCACCCCACCCGCCCGCCCCCCTCCCCCCGCCCTGTCCCGCTGGGTGCAGACCATGCTGTGCAGAGAGTGAGCAGTGATGCGGCCCCAAGGCTTTGGAGGGAGACTCAGGAGCAATGGAACCTGCCTGCACCATGTCCTGCCTGCCCCGCACGCGCACACGCCTGCCCGCTGCACGGGTCACCAGAGTCTGTCTGGGCCCAGCTGCACTGGACCAGTTACATGGATCCAGCCCAGTTCTCCAATTCCTTCATGTCATCCTCTTCCTCTTCCTTCTTCTTGGCTGTGTGAAGGGAGAAAAGGCTACTTAGGAGGGCTGTGACCACACTGTAACCACGATGCTCTCACACATTCTGGCTGGGTGCAGGGGCAGGGCTGATTTAGAGACATGATGTAGCACAACCCTGGCACCCAGCCTCATTCCAGGCTATCAGCAGACTGTTTTTCTGCACCTGGAAGCTGCAACACAGAACTCCAGATAACAGGCACACGTTCCCGGCACCACCCCCTCCACCAGCATCGGGGCCGGGCAAAACAAGGATTCCACACTGACAGTCCGTCAGAACTCGTCCCAGAGCATTCAAGGATGGGGAAATCAGGAAGAACCCCAGAGGAGATCTAATCCTTGCCAGCAATCCCCCTCCACCTCAAGTGGCTTGAACCACCTCTCCACACCCACAGGTGCCCCTTAAACAGTGTTTGGACCCCCTTTGCCTGAACCCACCACCATGCTGCCGACTCAACTTGAGGGGCCATTTCTTCTGGATACATGGGAGGGTAAGGGGACTACAGCCTCGTTACACTGCCCCCCAGGCTCTCTCTCCATGCCAAGTCAAACTTCTGTGCCTTTCCTAGAAGTTTGATGTGGAATACTTCTACCCACCTAAGGTGAAATAACAGAAGAGGGAGGGGGAAGAAGGAGCAGGGAGAAAGAAATGAAAGTTTTATAGAACCATGTCTCTAGAAGAGCCAAAGATATTTCCTTCCCACAGTGGCTGCCTCTGAGGCCCCAAGTTTTTGCAGATGTGCACAGCAGAGGATATTAGACAGGAACCAACAGCTGTCCTGGAATTAAACTCTCACCCCTTCTCCCAGTGCCTAGAACTTTCTTTTGTTTAGTGACATAGGAAAAATCATTCTGGAAGAGTGGTTCTCAACTGGGGGTGATCCCCCCACACCCTGCAGGGGACATCTGCCAGTATCTGGACAGAGCCCACGGGTGCTGTGTAAACATCTGTAATACATAAAACCCCTCTCCCCCAACCCAAAGAATTACCTGGCTGTGTCAACAGTGCCGAGGTTAAGAAACCCTGTTCTACAGAGAAACTAGGAAAAGAGGTGATGGTGTCTCCGTGGCCTTCACAACAGATCTTCTGTGATTCTCAATCCCAGGCAAACTCAGGACCCAAACTGAGGCCAACCAACCTCAAGATTACCCACTACAGGGCATTAGGGGTATGTCATGACTGGGCAAGAAGTACTCACTGGGTTTTGATGGTAAGGTTATAGAGGGAACATTTGGTAGAGGGACTGTTTCGGGTCCACTGATTTCCAGCAAATTCTTGTCTAGTTCCTCCTGTTCTAGTTCTTCTAATTCTGCCATGAGCTCATCCTGGTAAAGGAAACAGAAGAGTGAGAGACATGTCCCTGGGAATCCTACCCCCTGCAACAGTCCCTCTTTCCTGATGACCCAGAGGACACACACCCCTTCTAGGAAGGTCAGAAGGGAGATGATCTCCAGGTCCATACTCTTACTCAAACCTTACACATGGTTCTACTGGTGAACCTAATACCCTATCAGGCAGTTACAAAGTCTATATCCAGTGTCCTGCACTAGCTGTCAGCATTTTGAGAGAAGGGATTGCATCTTTTCATTCCTCTTTCTTTATCTCAGAACTGGGTACACTCAGTGAATGTTCAGGAATATTTGCTGAATTGAAATTAACTTGACTAGTCCATCAAATTTCAGTCTGAAAACATGAAGACTCTGGTGCTGGGAGCCAAGTCTAAGAGCCACAGGCTGTTTTTTCCAGCTACAGTGGGAATCAGCACAAAGAATTAGGTTCAGGGCAGAGGACCTGGCCTTCAGCAGACGCAGATCTAACATAGAATGAAATCTCTTCAATAGGGCCTGGTGTATTTTAAAATCCTAAGAGACTCAAGATCCCAGTTGCTACAGCAGAAACTGGTAGGTGGCCGAGCTCCAGATGGATCCCTCAGGGGTCAGATATAAATGCTCTTTCCTTGGCTTCACCTTTACCTCAAATCGGAGTTGCCCAAGGGAAAATCCTGTAACCTTCTACAAGGAGCGGTCACCTCAGCTGCCCCAGCTCTGAGCCCAGGGCCCCCCATGAAATGTGCAAGGTAATTACTGAAACCAGTTATTGACCTGAAGCCTGCTGAGGGGTCCCTATGAAGGTCCCTTTACTCAACCTAAACTTCTATTCCGAAGAGTGAATGAAAGCCATTTCTCAAAATCCAGAATTAAGGAGAGTTAATACCATGATCTATTTATGTCCAAGACTCTGGAGGAATGAGAAGTGGTGATTTCCAAACCACATACACCATGCCAGAGAGACTTCAACAGCACATCAAAGGGCGGCCCGGGTGACATTTGTGAAGCTTATGCGAACTGCATGAAACCACTCACCTCATCAAACTCTTCTCCAAATCCTACAGGTTTTGAAATAGCTGTTGAAATCTCCTCTGCAAGTTCTTGCTGGTCAGCAATGTCCTGCATTAATTCATCAACTTTATCGATGTCCCTTTAAATGAAATGGACAGATGTCATACGGGACAGTCAGTCTTTGTGAAGAGGGTCCATGAGGCAGGAACAGAAACCCTACCGCACACAATCCGCTTCCCACCCTATCCCCTGTAATGACCCCCTCTGAGGAATTACTCGTCTGTCTTTATTATCTTTCTCCCCCTTTTAACATGCAGGTGTTCTTAGACACCATCTAGCCTGACACCCTCAGGAAATAAGGCTTAGCAAAGTTGGGTGCCACGTTCATGGCCTCTCACGTGAGCTAGTAATAAACGTGTCAAATGAGACTACAGGACTTTAACTCCTGGGCCAATAGCTCTTCTTCAAGCTCAAGGGCAACTCTGTAACTCTGTACAGGGAGAGATAAAATCGCAGATCACAGAACATAGCTGTGCCAGTTGATAGGTCCTTCCCTTCTACTCACATGCACTTACGGCTCCTCCAGTAGGGCCCAAAAGAAAGGCAAACATGCAGAATTACTTTCTGTGCACTGTCAATCTTACAAACATACAACTAATCAGTATAATACATACACATGTATTTCAAAGCCTGCACAGCGGTTTACTGAGATGTGCCCTTCGCTAGGCATCTTGGAGAACATAGAAATGGAGCAGACGTGGACCTATCTTAGGAAGCTCAGCCCAATGAACATCTACCCTCAGGTAATACCTCACTTATTTAAAGGCTACTTTTCCTGCAACCCCACATTTCCAGAGCAGAGATCAGTGAACTTTTCCTGTAAAGGACCAAATAGGAAATATCCTAGAATTTGTGGGCCAAACTGTCATGAACACTTCACCCTGCTATGTAGCACAAAAGCAGCCATTGATAATATGTAAATTAATGGGCACGACTGTGTATCCATAAAACTTTATTTACTAAATAGGTGGTAGGCCCACAGGCAACATTCTGCCAATCCCTGACATGGCTGAGTACCCCCAAGGAAGTAAAAAAGGACTTTAAACACTCCCCAAATATATGCTGCCAAGTCCAAGCACTACAACAAATGCACAATTTGTTCATGGGAGAGGCCCTCATTTGGAACTTAGTGTTACCCTGGCCTGTAATTACAACCGTAACAAGTTTGGTTATCTAGTTTCTTAGGCCACTGTACATGAGAAGTAGCCACATAAGGGAAGGCTCGCTGAGGTGAGAAACACTGTTTTGAAAGTTTTTTTTTTTTTTTGAAGTAATCTCTACACCCAACTTAGGGCTCAAACTTACAACCCTGAGATCAAGAGTCACATGCTCTACTGACTGAGCCAGCCAGGCACCCCAAGAACATTGTTAATATGACAGCCAAAGACTGAGAGAGCCAGAAAATTCCATCAAAAGCAGATATAAGAACAGAGAGATCCAAAGCCCTTTCAGGATCCCGACAGCATCAGGAAAAAGACATGAACACTGATTCTAACCCCAGTTCTATCCAAGCTCATCCATAACTCAGGGCAAGGCACCTCCCCTCTTTGGGACACAGCTTCCCCACCTTGATAATCAGGGGCCTGGGTGAAAGGACTTTCTAAGGATCTTTCTAGCTAGAAACTCTGCTCATCACAATAACCTTGAATTACTCAGAAATACTGTTTCATTCCATGAAATCTTCTTTTTTTTAAGTGATCTGAGATCAAGACTGGAGCTGAGATCAAGAGTTGGCCTTTTAACCAACTGAGCCACCCAGGCACCCTGAGATCTGTGTCTTTAGGCAATAGGGTACAAAATCCATTCTAAAAGGAGTTCCCAGAGGCGCCTGGGTGACTCAGTTGTTGGGTGTCTGCCTTCGGCTCAGGTCATGATCCCAGGGTCCTGGGATTGAGCCCCCGCATAGGGCTCCCTGCTCGGCGAGAAGCCTGTTTCTTCCCTCTCCCACTCCCCCCGGCTTGTGTTCCCTCTCTTGCTGTGTCTCTCTCTGTCAAATAAATAAAATCTTTAAAAAAAAAATAAAATAAATAAAAATAAATAAAAGGAGTTCCAAAAAAGAATGCAAATTAAAACAAACTCAGGTTTTGAGTGGATAAATCAAAGGGTCGCCCAAGGCCATGTCCTGGGACTGAGGCCCTGCCACACAGGTGCCCCCCCCACCAGTGGGTATCCACATACATGTTGTCGTGGGCAGCCTTCATGGCCTTAGCAGCATAGCCCATGTTCTTGAGCACCTCAGTGTTGGTATTGGCGTTCTCCAGGGCCTCCCGCTGAAACTCGATGGTTGACAGTGTGCCATCGATCTGCGCTAGCTGTTTCTCATACCTCTTCTTGCGCTTCAGGGCCTGGAGGGCCGCTGCATGGGGGAGAAAACAGTTTCAGAGAGCCTGACACCAGAATATCCTAGAGTTCACTTGAGTCTTCGCCCTAATTGTAATAAATGCACCTCAGTTGTTGTGTTAACCTTATTAACACAAGGTTAATAATGTCATCTACACAAAGAACATATTCAATTTTCTAAGAAAACTATACAAAATTTACATACTTCAAAGTGCAGCAAAGCACACAAGCTGAAGTTCATACTGTGTAACCACACCCCCACAAATCAAAGCATGGAAAGACACCGAGACAGAGAATGTGTTTTGAGGCCATGCTGCTTTAGGTTCAAATCCCAGTTCACAGATTTAGGTGAGCTACTTAGCTTCCCCGATAGGTTCATTGTGAGAAGTGAGAGAATATAAACACCTAGCACAACTTAAACATAGTGGACACCAAAAAACAACACCTCTAATTATTATAAAGCAGCTTTAAAGTATCATTTTATGCCAGCTAAATTATAGAAACAATAAATAATAATGATACTAAATACTGGATAAGTTAGGGCTAAAATGCTCTCTCACACATAGCTGTAAGTTGATATACTGATTCTGAAAAGCAACATGGCCACACACAGCAACAGGTATAATGACGTTCCTGCCCTATGACCCAGCAGTTTCCTTCTGGAAACTATTCAACAAAAGCAAAAATCCTCATGCCTAAAGATGGTTATCGTAGCATTCTCTATCATAGAGAACACAACACAACTAAAATAAAGACAGAATTCCCTGCCAGGGGCGAATCTAGAGTGCGACCATTTGGTCAAGTCAATGTCATCATCCATCTGTGCTTCCCGGCATGTTAAGGCTGTAGAGATCATCTTGTTCTTAGATCCAGTCCGGACAAGCAATTTGACCGAGGTGAATCTGTGGCACAGCAGGAGCCAAAAGCACATCTCCCTACTCACAACCCAGGGTGCCTTCCCCTTATCATCTCAACTCCCCTCTTTGCACCTAAAGATATCTTTAGTACACATCTCAGATGGGCATCAAGGCCAGAACGAATGGGCCCCTACCTTGGCCTGGATAGCACTAGTCTTAAGACATATATATGAACACACATATGTACCCACACACACACATGCTCCACCATGTCCCTGGGCTCCAAACCACAGCCATCTCCAGCAGGCTCTCAGGGACATGCAATCATCTTCCTTACAGGGCTGTGGTTTCTCCATATATCACATGAACAGGTCCCATGCTCCTTCTACTCATGCTTCCTATTAGCCTAGGATGCATCCTGAGAACATCTGCCAAGGGACTGCAGGTAAGCAGTCCATACTTCCTCTAAAATGAGCAAATAAAACCACTAGGAAAATTCTTCCAGCCAAAGGATAAAGCAGGCTAATGAGAAATTGCAAAAAATCTGAAGAACAATGAAATGTGCCTCCTTAAAAGTTGACAAGACATTCAACCTATATCTCCCTTGATTCCTGTGTGAATGACCTATAACCTCGAGAAATCTAACCTGCAGTCATACCCAAGGTCCCCAAGACTCTAAACACCTTCACCTGCTAATACTAAGTCATACATGCTATGTAAGTACCTCACAAAACAGAAACTCTTTAAGGTAGAAATGACCACCCTTTTTAGCAGATGAGGAAACAGGTTCAGAGAGGTTACGTAATTCAGGTCACCAGGTGGTGCCATCAGATGGCAGAAGGGATTAAGCCAAGGGTGGAACCCCAGAGCATGGACTCTGCCATTATAAATGTTATGTCTTCCACTTAATAAAAAAGGCAGGAGCCTGCCCTGGAGGGGCCATCCAGTCCAGTGAGGAGTGTCAAGGAGACTGTGGGAACACAGAAGATGGAGTGCAAATCCATGTCATTCCTTTGCTTAAAAACCCTCAACAGCTCCCTATACCCACACGACAAAGCCTCCATGGAGTTTGATATGGCCTGTAAGATCCTGCAAGGGACTGGGGTTGTCACCACAGGCTGGGTTCTGGGATACCTTTGCCACTGACTATCATGGCAGAGGGAAGATACCCTGGTATATAAGTGCTCAGGGCCTGGGGTTGCTTCCTTGTACCTTCCTTGGTGCTGTGTTGCCTTTCCACAGAAACGAACTCAGATTTTTTTTTTTTTAAAGATTTTATTTATTTGACACACAGAGAGAGAGAGCACAAGCAGGCACAGCAGCAGGCAGAGGGAGAAGCAGGTTCCCCGCTGAGCAGGGAGCCCAATGCAGGGCTCGATCCCAGGACCCCGGGATCACGACCTGAGCCGAATACAGACGCTTAACAACGGAGCCACTCAGGCACCCCAAACTCAGACATATCCTAATCAACAAATGAGTCTCAAGTTTTCTCAGGCCAATGTCCCACAGATGCCTCTTTCCCAGGTCCACCTCAGCCATCCCCACCACCCATGGCATAGCCCAGCTCATAAAAACTTGTCTGCCATGTTCATGAGTAAAGTGAACAAGGTGTCTGGCTGCCTACTGTGTGGTAAGCAAGCTGTGGCAGTCCCATCCACCTTCTCATTTAATCTTCCTTACCCAGTCATGGGGCAGAGATCCCAGATCTATTACTAACAAAGAGACTGGGGATCGGAAAGGTGAAGTGGCCCATCCAAGTCATACTGCTGTTATGTGGAGAGAGGAGGGCTCAACCACTGGTCAGTTTAAACCCTCAGGTCTCTGCTCTTCCCACACAGGCTCAGAATGATGGAAGTGACACTGGAACAGTTCTCAAGAATGAACAAGGAGATGACACACCTGCCCTGCTTTTCAGTGTCCTGAGTGTAGCAGGAGCCTTGATTTTATATAGTCAGCTACATTCTGATTTTTGTCTTTTTCTTCAAATTTTGTTCTTGGTTTGTTTGTTTGTTTTTTCCCCCAAGCCCTTGCGTAGAGGGCTGACTTTCAATAAATCACAGAGAGGGAGCTGCTCTGCTTTGTATGAAACCCCAACCCAGAAGCAGGGTGTTCATGAATGGTTTAGCACCAGTTTCCCCATATATTCTGATTTTTTTTTAAGAGGTTATTTATTTATTTGACAGAGACACAACCAGAGAGGGAACACAAGCCAGGGGGGAGTGGGAGAGGGAGAAGCAGGAGCAGGGAGCCTGATGCGGGGCTCGATCCCAGGACCCTGAGATCATGACCCGAACCGAAGGCAGACGCTTAACGACTAAGCCACCCAGGCGCCCCTACATTCTGATTTTTAAAACCAAATTTATTCTTTCCCTATTAACATATTAGATTTAGAACTGCTTTAATTTTTTTCTCTAATACATTTTTTTTAAGGAATCATATCCTTTTTTTTAAGATTTATTTTTGAGAGAGAGCATGTGCATGTGCGCAAGCACACAAGTGGGGGGGAGGGGCAGAGGGAGAAGCAGAGGCTCGACCCAGGTGCCCTCCCTACATTTTCAACTGACAGTGACTCCTTGTATGCCAATCTTACATTTCTCTGACCTCCACATTACTTCTAAAATTCTCCAAGCAGGGGCGCCTGGGTGGCTCAGTCGTTAAGCACCTGCCTTCGGCTCAGGTCATGATCCCAGGGTCCTGGGATCATGCCCGCATCCGGCCCCCTGCTCGGCGGGAAGCCTGCTTCTCCCTCTCCCACTCCCCCTGCTTGTGTTCCTGCTCATGCTCGCTCTCTCTCTGTGTCAAATAAATAAATAAAATCTTTAAAAAAAATAAATAAAAATAAAATTCCCCAAGCAATAAATGATCTGGAAGCAAATACCCAAACACATTAGAAGGAAGCAAGTCCCCCCATGAATGAAATGTTTATATTATTCACGTTTACAGACCAATATCCAGCACAATGGCTGGTACACAATAAGTACTTCATATATATTAAACTGAATCTCTAATTCCATCTGTATTTTAAGTTTTTCATGTATTTTATACGGGGTTCCTCATGTGTGATACACCCATATTTTATCTCCTGTGTCCCTCTGACTCAAAGGAGAAATGATAATGTCTCATTGAAACACTAGCTAAAACAATCATTTGATAGGATTCTTTCCCTGCATCCCTCCTGGCCCATAAAACAGCAACTTTTGTAAGCACTTGCCCTTCCCTCCATCCTCATCATAAGGTGTGCTCTTGGAGAGGAAGAAAATGGCCTGAGCAAAGAGCCTGGCCCTCTAGGACTTCCCCCCCTGCCTGCAGGGTTCACACAGTCTTCCTCTCCATGTAGTGAACTCTCCAGGATGGTACCTGGCAGGGACAGCTGATTTATTTACCCCAATCTAACTCCTGTGTGTATTTCTCAACTAGTTAAGAACTCCAAAGACAAAGTGTACACTATTCATTTTCTCCCTTCATATGTGGTTCATGAGTGATCTTTTTTTTTCCAAAAAAGATTTATTTATTTATTTTAGCGGGGGAGGGGCAAAGGGCAAGGGAGAGAAAGTCTCAAGCAGACTCCTCAATGGAGCGTGGGGTCCAAAGCAGGGCTTGATCTCATGACCCCGAGATCAGGATCTGAGCTGAAACCAAGAGTCGGCACTTAACTGACTGTGCCACCCAGGCGCCCCTAATGTAATATTGAAATTAGGGGGCGCCTGGGTGGCTCAGTGGTTAAGCATTTGACTCTTGGTTTTGGCTCAGGTCGTGATCTCAGGGTTGTGGGACTGAGTCCTGTGTCAGGCTCTGCGCTGAGTGTGGAGCCTGCTTGGGATTCTCTCTCTCCCTCTGCCTCTGCCCCTCCTCCTGCTTGTGCGCTCTCTCTCTCGAAATAAATAAAATCTTAAAAAAAAAAAAAGAAATTAGACATGAGATTACCATTTGGGCTATAAGAGTATGTGTAAACTTAAATATTCATAGTACCTGAACCACTCTATACTTTAGAAACGTGTGGCAGAGTGGTAAAGTATAACTTAGGGCAAACTACAGGAGTAAAATGCCTCTCTTCCTGCATACTGTTACACTTAAAGTAAAATATCCATCCCAACCCTATTTCTGACCACAGGAATCTACCTCTTTTTTTTTAAAGATTTTATTTATTTATTTATTTGAC